TAAGTTATTAGTAATAACAGTAGTTAGTGCCAAAAAATGTGAATTTATCTTAGAATAAACTTTACAATGAATTAGAATTTAAGAATAAATAGATGGTTTTTGTTAATTTAATAATAACACTGATTATAATCAGTGTTTTCACCTTTAGCTTTAATGCAAGCACGAATTCGACGAGGCATGCTTATTCCACTTAAAAAAAGTGATTTGGAAATAAAAAGAACTTTATCTAAACAAATTTTATTACAAAAATAAAAAAAATATTCTAACAAAACTTCTAAAGAACAAATTACAAAAAATGTGAATTTATCTTAGAATAAACTTTACAATAAATTAAAACTAAGCTATTAAACATACTTAAAATTACCATTTTTATTCTTGGTTTAAAATAATTTTTTTAATTCAATGTTACGAAATAATAGTCCAATAAATTGTAATAAACGTGGTTAAAAGTACACTAAAAACTATAAAAAGTAGGAATATATTCTAAAAAAAAATATATTCTTGGTTTAAAATATATTTTTTTTAATATTCAATGTTACGAAATAATAGTCCCATAAATTGTATTAAACGTGGTTAAAAGCATACTAAAAACGATAAAAAGTAGGAATAAATTCTAAAAAGTAAGTGTCAATAAATGTTTGCTATTCCTGTAACTTCAATTTTAACGCGTAAGCATCTGCATAGTCATAATTTATTTTTTCTACTCCCACCTTTAAAACGCCCTTTATCGTACATGTTTCCATGACACTAAGTGACCTTTTAAATACACATTGACAAGTTGTGGCTTTACGGCGCTTTAGTCACGGACTGAAGTTAGTTTTAAGTTAGTTGACAGTTGTCAAATGTCATACAATCGTTAAAATAAAGTGCCCTTCTTGTAAAATAATACTAAATGTGAAAATTATTTTATTATCTCAATACAAAAATATTAAATGGTTTCTCAACGCCAATATTTGAAAAGTTTATATGAACATTGTACTGACCTTTAATTTCGCCGACAGTAAACTATACCTTAAATTCGGGCACGGACTCTACTAAAACATTTCCTTTACTTTTACTGTAAAAAACTGTTAATTTTCAAGATACATTTCGATTTGTAACCTTTATAATTGTGTTTATAAAATGTAAAAATGTGACATTTGACAGTTTCCCCTGTTGTCTCATAGATGGCGCTCTATACAAATTTTTGATTTAAATTATTTTAAGATAATAATAAGTATTTGTCGTACAAAAAGTATAGTATGCACCTCGTTTATAAACTTTTCTATACACTCATTAACTTAAGCACTCGCTCGCAAGCTCCTAAATTAAATTCGTGTATAAAATTGCGTTTATCAAACTTGATACATATTAACCTTCAATTATAACAAATGTCTAGTTCATGATTATTTTGTACATATTATGTTACGTTCAATAGTCGAATTAAATATGCAAAACTAGTTTTGAGCACCGAATATTTCACAAACCCCAAATTTTAATTTTATACTGTTATTGAGCGCTTAAAAATAAGCAGAACTAGTTTTGCGCATTTTGAAATGTACAATACGAGTTCTGTATAAGTATTTATGAATGAGCAGCATTAGTTCTGCCACCCAACCCAACCCAACCCTTTATTCTTCTTTACTGTTTAGCCCCTCTACGGGTTTTGATTCGGCTTTGAACAAATTTGCCTTCTTAACCTCATTAAGTGTAGTAAGGTAATGATCTTTCGTCATGAGATTATGTTTTTGAGTTCCTGAAGCCTCCAATATCCGAACTAATTGAGATTCGAATTCAGCTTGCATTTTTATATAGGTACATGGGTGAATACCGTAATTATAATAATTGTAACATCCACAATTTCACGAGCACAAAACAAACGAAATAAATTCAAAACAAAAAATAACATAACCCTACTTTTTTGGGTTTGGGAGGCTGTAAAACAAGCATAACTAGGCCATTCAGAAATGTACAGAGCTAGTTTTATTATACGGTGAAAAATTGACAAACCATACAAAAATACAAAGAACTTCTGTTTATAAATTTTAAAAAGAACATTTATGAGAAATGTTGATTATTATAATCGCATATTATTGTTGGAAAATAAGTATGCAGATTATTTAATTGTTAAACTGGAATATTTTGTCTGCAGCGCAAAAACTACAGTCCTTTTTGTGTTTCGACTAATGAACTCGTTCATAAGCAATTCTAAATTGAGCTTATCTACTGCATCTGGATAAGAATGCTGAATTGCTACGTCATTTAATCGATTTTGGGCCATTGTCAAACCTAAATAGTTTTTAACTCGTCGCAGCACAGAAAAAATCTTTCATTTAAACATGATGAACCATATATATTAGAAGTCTAATAAATCGGGAATGCTCAGGAACAAGTCCCACACACCAATCATTCTCCCGCATGAATTTTACGATATCACCCAAATTCTGTACTCTTTTCGCTTCATTCCATAATATTTAAAGCTACTGTGAACCTGAATTCGTCAAAATCTTCTTTATAAAACATTATGATTTCCTTTACTATCTTTCCCGGGCAACATTCGTGATATTCATACGAACATCATGTCGTGATTTTCACAAATTGTATTTATACTGATATCATATGGAAGTCACCGCGTGATAATTGAAAATCATACGAACGTCACGTCGTGATTTTCACAAATTTTATTCATACGGACATCATCCGGATGTCACTGCGTGAGAAATGAAAATCATTTCGTGTTTTTTTTATGCCATCGCTGTTTGCGGTTGACCGATGGCCTAAAAAATCATGTCGTGATTTTTTATGCCAACGGTGTTAGGATAATCATTTTTGCGCCACGTTTGTACACTAAGATAAAAATTATGTTGAATCAACAGTTTTTGCGGTTAAATACATTTAATATTTTATTGGATGTAAATTAACTATTAATTTAAATCCAAAAAAATATTGAATGTATTTAACCACAAAAACTGTTGATTCAATATACATATATGTAGGTATACTTTTTCCCTCAATGTACGAATGTGGCGCAAAAAAAAATATCCAAACACCGATGGCATAAAAAATCACGACATGATTTTTTAAGCCATCGGTGTTTGGTAATAAAAAATCACGACATGATTTTTTATGCCATCGGTGTTTTTTGCGACACATTCGTACATTGAAAGAAAAAGTATGTTAACAATTAAATGAACAGTTTAACATTCAATATTTTCTTGGATTTAAATTAACTATATATAGTTAATTTAAATCCAAGAAAATATTAAATGTATTTAACCGCAAAAACTGTTGATTCAACATAATTTTTTTCTTAGTGTACGAACGTGTCGCAAAAATGATTATCCAAACACCTTTGGCATAAAAAATCACGACATGTGCCATCGGTCAATCGCAAACAGCGATGGCATAAAAAATCACGACATGATTTTCATTTCTCACACAGTGACATCCGGATGATGTCCGTATGAACAAATTTTGTTAAAATCACGACGTGATGTTCGTATGAATATCACGAATGTTGTCCGGGTAGGTTTTAAATTCGCAGTTCGAAGGGCTCATAGGCATGCGCAAATTTTGCAAATATCACACCGTGAGTTCTACATGATATCACTTTGATGAAGCATGTGTATGCACTCAGGATATCACAGCGTGATAAAAAAAATCACGTTGTGATATCATCATGACTTCACTAGGAAATGTTGTCCGGGTTATTATCTTTCAACGCTGTCGCTGGGCAGCGTGTTTCGACTGTGCTTACACACCACGGCTATCTGGCACTGATGAGGTCTAATAACACCGAAACAGGCTGTCTGTCGGTGCCTGTTTGTGTAGCACACTCGAAACAAATACACAAAACTTTTTACACAAAAATAGTACATGAAAATGATCTAGCGTTGTTTTATTGCTTTCTTCTCCAATGACAATGTTTTTCTTATTAAGGTTGTAACTCTTGAAACCGTTCAGCTTTTTAAATAAAAAAAAACCTGTCTACAACAATATAGCGTCAAAAGGGTAAAACATGTTTATTACTCTGTATGAAGAAAAAAGTAAGACAAAATATCTAGAATATCAAGCACTGAAAGCCCCGCACATCGAATATTGTGAAACAACTCGTTTTGGATTAAATAAAAATTAACGAAACACAAGTTTTACAAAATTAAATAATGCGTATAATTCTACAGTGTAATAAATATACACCAATAGAATGAATATTAAATGTACTTAATTTTATGACAGTTAAACAAAGAATAACATTTAAAACACTAATCTTTGTTTTTAAAATATTCGTGATGACTCCCAGATACTTAACTAAAAAAATTAGGCTAAAATTTAGCCAAAATTTAGCCGCTAAATTGCACTGTACATAATTATCAAACAAAGATATTTACTTGGACAAACCTACTTCAAGCAAATATAGTAAATCGTTATTTTTTAAAGGATTCCAATTATATAATGAACTTACAATTAATATTAAATACTGTGATTACTTTAAAGTTTTTAAAAAATTATTAAAATCTTGTGATATATGTATGCTGATTTGTTTTATGTTATTAATAAAATTATGTACTTTATAATTTGTAGTAAATAAATATATTATTAATATTATTATATTTTATTAAAGGAATTGTGAAAATCAAATCGAATCTCGCTAATTTGCTACCTAAAGAATATATATCCTTTTTCTATGATTAGAACTACAGGAAATACCGCAATAAAAAAACGAGCCGGAGGCTAGTCGCACAGAACTTTATTTTTTTTTAAATTGTAGAATATAAAGGCACACAATTTTAACTAACTAAATATATTTGTTTAAACAAAAAATACTTTAAACAAGAGTTAAATTTTATAAAAAATAATTTGCCTTTTTTACTTTTTAAAATTTGGACTTAAGATTTTCAAGTAAGCCCCTATCGATTCATGAAAAAAACATACTGTGGCTTGGCACGCAAGGTCAGGCCATTTTTCACCACGGTTTGACTGGACTATTTGATGGAATTTTATTTTATTTCGCATTGTTTTAGGGTCTAAGAAATGCAATTATAATAGGTACTTTTGGTACCTGCGCAGGCTCATGGATAAAACTTTGTTCCGTCGACCCATCCAGATTTTGGGTTGGTTTCCTTGGGCAAAGCATTGTTGCCTTATCTCAGGTCTTCATTCTTTCTCTTCCTGCAAGATTAGCAGCAGTATGGTTTGGACCATCGCAAGTATCTTCAGCTTGCAGTATAGGAGTATTTGGAAATCAGGTAAATATATTTTTAATTTTACATGAGTACTACTCTGAGTACTATTGAGTGATCACATCAAGTCAAATAGGTTTAGCCAGAAGATATAATAATCAAGGTCTTAAAGTGTTGGGTTCGAATTTTTACTGACATGCAATCCCATAAATATTATAATAGCGTTGATTACAACAAATAAATTATACAATAAATTAAAATAATATTGATTTTTCACAAAGAAAAGTCCATACATCAAGTATTTAAGTTTAAATATTGGAAACTTAACATTAAGTTTATACTTGTATTTTTCATGCGACCCACATTGATGCATTTTCTATTTGAACTAAAGTCTACATTTTACTTGGTTTTAAGTACAACAGGGTGGCGCAGTGAGTAATGGCCGTTTTTTTAAACTCCATTGTTCGAAAAATACCACAATTGAAATTGTTTATACAATTCCCCTGCAAGGTTAATCATCACGAATACAATTTTGCGTGATGACTCATCAGTGATGAGGCTTATTTATACCTATCAGTAGTGTGCGGATTTTTAGTATAGTTTGGTACCTCTGTAAATATGAGGCGGCCATATGAATTGCAATGTAATATGCCACTATCATAACGATTAAAGTATTCACAATTCGCTAGCGCATGTGGCAAATGTATCACTACTAAGCTGTGTAACTGTGAAGAAATTTCGTTTGCGTTACGTTGAACGTTGGCTAATGTGATGTAGACCATGTAGATTTTAAATAACCTCACAAAAAAAATCATGTGGCGTTAAATCAGAAGACCGAGCCGGCCATTCGGTAGGACCACGCCTACCAATTCACCTATTTGGATAAGTCTCATCAAGCCACCGTCTAACATCCCTAACAGAATATGCGGGGCTCTATCTTGTTTGAATATTACTTCCATGTGAAATTCGTCAGGATTATCTTGAACTATATCTTAAATTATTTGATGAATTTGTGTTTAAAGTATGTTTGAGTACAAGATGCCTGTTAAATTTCCTTTCAAAAAGGTGGGTCCTACAATATGGTTTTCCAGTTGTCCCGCCCATACATTGACTTTTTGTGGGTACTGGGTATGACCTTCACAAAAAAATTGATCGCAAAAACAGGAGATTGCGCTCACACTTAACTTCACAAAATTGTACTCTGCGATCCGGGTCATCTTCAATAAGTTGATGTAAAATTCTTAATTTATAGAGGTAATATTTGTTATATTTTAAATATTTTGCTATATCACAATCCCCTGCAACTGCCGCCGTCGATTGTTGTAAATTATTGATGACAGAACCGACTATTTCTACTTGTTTGTCTTCTGAGATTGATTTTCTACCCAATCGTTTTTGATACTCACACCAGTTTTTTGAAATTTTATCTCTAACTCCCGTAGATATTTTCTGCAAATAGGGTTGGTGTTAAAGTAAATGATTTAACCATATAATAATACTCTTTCAATTTACTTTCTCAAAAAGAGAAAAACTTGTGTAGACTTTTAATTAATTTTATATTTCAACTTGAAAAAAATATTCAATATTATTACAGGTAGTAACACTGTGTTACTAACACAATTATTGTTATAGTATACTTCAATGTATAAACAAAGTTTTCCAACTTCAACACCTTCCCTCATTGAAGTATTGTCTTAAGTGTTCTTACTAAAAACCTATCATATTTATTAAATCTGACAGGCTTGGTCTAAATAAAGCTTTCGTCATGAGATCAGCAATCTGGTTTACCCCATCTATTTTCTCTACAACTATTTGACTTTCTAAGACCAGTTCCCAAACAAAGAAATGTCTTATTCTTACATATATGTTTTATTCTTTTGTGAAATTTTTGGTTCTGGGCGAGTTTAATTGCGGCTTCATTATCTACCATTAGAAGAGGCAAATCCTTTAATTTTACAAAAAACTCCAGTGTATTTATGTGTATTTATCACCTCCATGGTCTGCATCACTATATCCTTTTAAGTAACCTTTCTTCGGATTGTATTTGTATATATATCTTGGTATTGTATACAATACCAAGATCCAAGGTACCTTTGATATATCTGAATATTCTCTTTACACGCATATAATCCAGTGTGTTTGGATTTTTGAGACTTCTTGAACAAATATCAACTGCATAGGCTAAATCAGTACGGCTTCCTGTCATGAGGTACATTAACTGCTTCTCTATAAGAAAACTTTGGATCATCTTTCTCATCCCTGATTCAATATACCCTTTTACTATTGGTGTTGACACGGGTTTGCAATCTTATATCTTAAACCTCTTCAGTAACTTTTTAGAATAGGATTTTTGGCTAACTTTAATGGAATTATCTGAATTTTTCTGTATTTCCAGTCCCAAAAAGTATGACGCAGGTTTAATGGTTATCTTAAACTCTTTTTTTATATTTTCTAGGAACTCATTCTTCATACCTTTATTAGTAGAAGCCAAAAGTCAACATATAAGGATAAAATAAGCATATCAATTCTATTTTCTTGCTTCTTAACAAATAAACAAGAATATGCATTTGTCTGTTTAATTTGCAGTCTAATAATGACATCAACAATATGTCTATTCCAACAACGAGGCGCTCCATTAAGGCTTTTCTTTACCATCTGTACCATCTGCCTTCTGGTTCTTTCATGAAAATTTCTTCTTCTAACAAACCATATAAAAATGCTGTTGATATGTAAAATTGAGTTAATTCCATTTATTCGCTAGCAGCTATACTAATAACAGCTCGTATTAAAGAAAGCCTTGCAACCGGACTGAAAGTTTGGTCATAATCTGTACCTGTTTTTTGTAAAAATCCCTTTGCAACCAATCTTGCTTTATACTTGTCTACTGATCCATTTGGGTTTCTTTTAATTTTATAAGTCCACTGTCCATAGCATGTAACCATTGGTCTTTTTCACCACATCGAATTTGTTTCATTTGGTTCATTTATTTCAAGTATATTTGTAGCAACTGTCAAGGCATAGTCTTCAAATCGAACTGGTTTTTTAGTCTTTCTCTATTGCCCAATTTTCTTTCATAAACTTCATCTTCAAAACCATTAAACTCTAAAGTTATACTTTCTCTATCTTTACTATCTTCAAAATTATCTTTATCTTTATCATTATCATTTACAATTATCATTCACAGTGTCTGTCGAGAATCTGAACATGATATTTTTCTTTGTGTAACTCGCATCTGAGCTATGGTGTCATTTTATGGGGCAACTCTACAGATGCCATAAAAAAAATTTCGCCTACAGAAGAGAGTTATTCGCATACTGGCTTATGTAAAACCTGGTGAAAAATGGCAGCCTATTTTCAGACTAACCAAATCTATAAAAAATATTGTAAATTTTAATTTGTATAATCATTCATCAGACAACTTATAAAATCTGCAATCAAAAAAATTCAAAATAAAAGATAAAGAACTTATTTTAAAACATTGTTTTTACTCAGTAGAAGAGTTTCTAGACTGTAAATTTTAAAAATGTTTTGTGCTACCCTGTATAACCCTGTATTACCTTATTTTGTAGTATTTCTAAATTTAATGTTTTTAATCTTTTAGAATAAATTAATGTGTTATATATTTATTTTTATACGTAATATTTTGAGACTTGATTTTCTAAAAGTGAATTCTCTTTGACTTCTTTACAATTCTCTCTTTCAAGACTAGGAAGAAGTATTGGTTCAGGACTTGAGAAGGATATTTCATTAAAAATAACATCTCTATATCTTAATAACTTCTTTGTATCTGAACACCAAATTCTTTAACCATCTTTATTGTCATATCCCACTAGTATTACTTTTTCAGCTTTTTATCCAGCCTTCTTCTTCTTGGCATAGGAATAGGCGAATAACATGTACTTCCAATTACACAAAGATGTGTCAGACATGGTCTCTTTTGATACCATACTTCATAGGGAGACTTGTTGTTTTCACCAGAAACGCCTGATCTATTTAGTATATAGACTGGAGTATTTATCATTTTTGCCCATAGGCTTTGAGGTAAACCTTCTCTTGCATGCATCAGTGCTCTACTAGTTTTAACTATGGTTCTGTTGAGGAGTATAGGGCATCAATAATCTTTGATGAATTCCATGCATATCTCTAATGCGTTAGCGCCCGATAGATTATTTTTATGGGTCTCTATGGGGTAATTTAAGCAGGGTCATGATCAAAATCAACATTAGCAAATGTGTCGAAGGAAATATTATCTAGCTAAATGTGGATTTTGAAAACGTTTTTACAACCTTTCTGGCAATACAATTCTCCAACATAGTTTGAAAGTGGATTTTATGTATTTCGGTCGTATTTTTACTATATAGCCATATGGCTTTAAAAAATTTATTGCAGAGTTTGATTTGTTTTATAACTTATGTATTATAAAAAATAAAAATTTAAAAAAAAATCCACATTCAAAAATTTGTCGACGGGACTCAAAATAATTTTATGTAGCTAAATGTGGGTTTTGAAAACGTTGTTACAACGTTTCTAGCAATACAATTCATCAATGTAGTTTAAAAGTGGGTTTTGTGAATTTCGGTCGTAGTTTTGATATTATGACTTTAAAAATGTATTGAAGGGTTTGATTTTACTTTTATAACTACACAGAGAAAAATCAATTTGAAAAACATTGCACAGAGTGCAACATGCCATTGGAGCATAATTTTTTATAAATGTGCTACGTTATCCAATATAGTTTGATTGGTTTTTTTTACTACTTTGTTTAAGTCAATTTTCTAAAATTTGTTGGAAACAGTAAGATTTTATATTTAACCATTTTCACAATATTGTCAAGAAAAGAGTTGAAATCTGTTGTTAAAAATATTTCTAAAATAAATGTTACTCTTTTGTACAATATTTTAAATAATTAGTATAAATATAGTATAACTTTGTTAGAATATAAATTTTACAATTGTAACGGGGATTTTTGTGTCGCGTGCTTGTGGTTGCTATACTTTTACTACCTATTCTTTGGTTGGCCTACGGGAGCTTTTGGGTGTATGGAACCCGTTACAAATTACTAATCTAATCTGACCTTTTAATCCGGTGAAGATCGACGTGGCTTCGGCTGGAGGATGTCAGTGAGACGAGTCGAAGGCGAAGTACTCCTATATGTATATTGACACACTTAACTCACTCGCGAACCGCGCGGAAAACTTCATACACGATTACCGTTCACTATATACTTACTTTCGACTTAACTTGATTCAGGGCTATTTCTTATACAACAGGCAGAGCAATAAAGCGATATTTCAAACCATATAAATATATTAACAAACAAAGAGTTAACAATAAAAATGAAAAGATATAAACAAGTAAAATTAAGTTAAATAAAATTAAAAAGGGATAATTAAAGTTACTCCAGAGATTTAATTTACAAGAACTAGTTTACAGAACAAATTAGAACTCTAGATTAAGAAATTTAACTAAAAGTAACCTAAAGGAAAATGTAACAAATAATTAACTAAGCAAATGCGCGGTGCGAGTTACTCGAAATAAGAACTCTAGATTAAGAAATTTAACTAAAAGTAAACTAAAGAAAAATGTAACAAATAATTAATTAAGCAGATGCGCGGTGCGAGTTACTCTAAAGAGTAAGTAACTATAATTAAACAAACTATTCGGAGTGAATCTAATCTACACAAATGGTTTGAAATATAATAATTAATATAAGTACCTTTTCACTGAATCAAATGAAGTTGGCGAGGATCTACGACCGATGTGGAAAGCGCGATAAAATTTAGATAAGAACTCCCGATTCAAAGGTCGTGTTCGTTTTTTATAGACTAATTTACGGAAAACTTGGTAGGGATCAATTCTTAAAGACCATTGGTCAAAATCGGGGCAACTCCCCCCCCGCAAGGGTCATAGAAAATTGACTGGTTCAAAAGGTCATAAAATCTCGTACCAACCGAAAAGGGCGAAAGGTTATTGGTTTTAATCTAAGCGGTTCAGTAATTCTTAAGGGAGGAGGCGTTACCCTTTGACTTAAGTCGGAAACTTGGCTATGTGAAAGGTCGGGAACAAACAAGGTGGGAATTTTACTAGGCATTGGGCGGAGTTTTCGCCATTGTCGCCAACTTCAAGATAAACTATAATTTACTAGATTTGATAATAATCTTACGATGATTTAAAAGTAACCAAGGTTGCCTAATGATTGAATCGACTGTTTTTATATCTGGTTATTAAATCATATTAACTGAGTTTGATTTTATTGGGCATTTCCTTGGTTCAAACCATGCTTAGGATTTTTATCCATCTACACTTAATTTATATTGGCGGATCCAGACTTATCTTTTAATAAGCAGCCACGCTTTCATATTAACAATACAATCTACCTAATCTTACATCTTATTTCTAGTCTATAATCTCCTATTTCTAATCTATAATCTCCATTTTTCTAAGTTTAGTTTTCAACTGAATCAATTCGTTACTTTCTTTAATTATATTAATCTTATTATATTTCTGACGCTTTTCGTTTACTTCAAAACTGTTCTTAGAGAAAGTGTTGCTGCCATATGTTTGGGCGGCTTCGGCAAAATAAGGTTAGCCTGCAATATGGATTTATGGCTTTATGGCCTCGATGGGAATTTTCGTTAAACACGACCCTATAAATTTGTTTTTGACGTTACGTTTGAAATCCTTTTCAAAATTTCTTATTTTGCACATGTTAAAGCTTTCTAAACCTTTCTAAGAAACTCTTAATTTCTGGTTTTTCCACGAATTATTTTAACGGTTTTTTCGAACTTTCTCCCTGTTACACAATATTGGACAATTTGTTTGGGTGTAAAGCATCACACTACCTAAGATAACCAATGAAATGATTTCCTGCTTGAAATAAGACGCGGGATGGTCGCTCAACTGCAATCTGCATCATCAGTTTGCTGTTTTAGTTAGTGTTAGGAATTTTAAGGTTAGTACCACATTTCTGGTGAGTAATTATTTTTATGAATAAGAAAAAAGTTTTATCAATAGGTACATTTTTTTTCTTTTTTCCTTGGGAGGTGTAATGTACGAACTTCGTAAACTATCTATTATTCCTTTTTATTTATATTAATATATTTATTAGCTATTTTAATGCTTATTGTGTAATTAATAAATTCGTACATTTCCTCAATTATAATTCATTGACCGGACTGCGTTTCGAATTGCAGAATTGCAATTATTATGTTAATTAGATATAGGTTTCAATTTTGATATATAGTCTATAAGTAACTTATACTTACTCATTTACTCAAAGTGACCCAACATTATATCACCTCCTTTGACGAGCAGTTTCACTTTGAAAATCCATTTTTAGCAGCAATCTACGTTTAAGAATTTTGCCCGCAATGACGGGTAACGTAACCGGATAATTTTTCCCATCCGCATTTACATTTATTGTAAATTTACCCAAAGTTTCGTTACCGCCTCAATCTTAAGTTTATGATCTCGCAAGGCGGGAGATTCAATTTTCACATATTCGTTCGTTAGCAAATCACTACCTGCATCCACTAACACTGCAAAACTTGTACCTTGCATTTCTCTCCTCATGTTTTCGTACTGGCCAAACCGTTTTTTAAACTGCTTAATGGAGGTTGCTCTACAGTGCTTGCAAATCCAAGACCGACCGGGTTGGGAAGGACGGTTGTTCAATACCCGTGTGAAAAGAACAAGGATATAATATATAATAAGTCATATAATAGGAAATTTTTTGTACGCTTTTGTACAATATTATGCATTAATAAGATATTTCAAGCAAATATTTTCGAAGTAATATTATCACAACAAATTTTATTTAGCTAAATTTATCACAAGGTGGCGACCACCTTCTTGTACCTTCATGTCACAGAACAAAATCTTTATGTGTTTGGCGACATAAAAATACAATACATGTATACAAGATATCCATATGAGTTATCCAATGTAAATCCAGTGGATAAACATTAGACATACATTCGTTATCCAGTGGATATCGATTAGACATACTTTATTACGATTTAAATCATATTTACTAATCATAACATACATTTATTTTATAAGGGACCATTTTAAAAAAGAAAAAAATTGTTGTTTTAAAATATTTTTAAATATTCCGTATGAATATCCATTGGATATCCAAAGGATATTGTGGGGTCATGCCATTTACTCGCTCATCCGCAATATTTTCGCACACCAACTTACTCTCTACCTTGAAAGTTTCATTTATGAAGAATTCTGCCATGTTGTTTTAATTCAATTCTGCACTGTTTTTCTCACTTATCATTTGCCGCTATAGTGAATACCCTTTGCTGTATCCCGGACGAGCCCACAAAGAATGTAGAGGAGATTATTGCTGATTGCAATGATGGTAAATCGGTTTTATTTACAAGTGACTATGATATTACACCATAAATTAGTCAATTTTATCAGATCAATAAAGAAAATTTGGTCAATTTAATTTTAGACTAATATTTCATTTTTATCTAACGTGTTCACTGACCAAAATGTGCTTTTCATAAACGTCTCATATAAACAGTTATTAGATTTATTCACGAAGCATAAAAATCCACTGAATATAATTTTAAAAAAATCTGTAAACGGAGCTATCCAATTGGGTTTATTAACTTAATTTGTTTTTCTTTTCAGCTTGGTGTTGCTGTAGGATTTCTTCTTCCAACAATGATGGTCGATGGTACAAGAAGCACAGAATTGATTACGAAAGATTTATTTTCGATGTTCCTATGTGTTGCAATACTTACTTCAGTCATTTTAATTCTAGTCCTAATATGTAAGAACTTGTATAATTTAAATAATATAAAGATTTATATCACAGATAAATTAGATATTTTAAAATTTACACAAATATAACATTCAAAAGACTTCTAGAAAGGCATGATATAAATTTGGTTTATCTTAAAAGGTATCAATAGATAGTTTATCCAGGGCTGGATAAAATATTAATTAAACAATAATTATTGAAGCATTATAATTTGGCAAAGCAATAACATTATATAACGTAATTATCTGGTATTGTCAATGCTCCCAAATATACAAATAAAATTTAATTTTGAAAATATACACAAATAGATCATTGTTAAGATAAGTAAAAAATAAAAATTGAAAGAATTAATTTTTATTGTTTAAAAATACAACCTAGTTTATGTCTGGCTTCGTTGAAAGGTGGAGTGGTACTAGAAAAAAACTCACTGGGCAACTTAAGTGTTGTTCCATAGATTAATTCTGCAGCCGTGCATTGAAGGACCTCCTTGAAGTTCTTCTGATGCCAGGCATGACCAATAGTAAGTTTTTAGTCCATCTTTAATTGCTCGTTGCAATTAAGGCTGCCTTCAAGGTCCGGGTAAAATCTCTCAATTGCACCGTTTGACTGAGGTAATTTTAATGTGTTGAAAGGTTTTTGAACTGTTTGCATTTAAATTTCCTTCCTCGGTCTGTGGTAAGGTATTCGAAATCGTATTACCCATTGCTATACAAAAACTTCAGCTACTGTTTCCGCCGTTATTTCTTTTAACGGTATGGCTTCAGGCCATCTTGTAAATCGATCAATGATCGTGAGCAAGTATTTATAGGATTCTGATGGAGGTAGAGGTCCTACTATGTCCATGTGAACATGAGAAAGTCGTTCTTCAAACATTCCTTCGCCCATTTTTAATTGATTTCTTCAGGTTGCACCAAACAAATCTGTCTGAGATAAATTTTATTATCGCTTTGATACCTGGATGGAACAAGTTGTGTATTTTGCTGTGTTTTGGGGATATATAGTCGAATTTTTGTTGTTGTACCTCGCAGTATAATGGTTCATCGACGTTAGGAATTCGTATTTGTTGTAGTTTGAGAGATGAGTCTTTAATATAACGTATGTTACTTGAAAATTGACTAATAAATCTAAGTTTTCTAGACTGCCTGGGTAAACATTTTTCAGGTCTCTATTAAAATGCATAAACCAAGGGTCCAGAAAATGTCGAAATGGTTGTATACCGTAATAAATTGAAACAAGTTTTATATTGTTCGGTCTTTAAGAGTTTTCTTGAGAAGAACGATATTGGTTTCAACCCTGTTGTGAATTGTTGGAAAAATCCTCCAATGGCGACGTCAGATGCGTCTACTGAAATACTAAGCTTTCCATTTGGTGATGGGTAATTTCCGAGTAGTTCTGTTACTTCTGCCAACAATTCTTGTATATTAACAGAGGAATTGTTGCTTTCTTATTTCCATGGGATTTGAGTATTTTTCTTAGTATTTCCAGCATGATGGGTTCCATTTTTGTTGCGGCGTTTGGTATCATTGATCATCCCTAAGAAACGACAAAGCTGTTTGACCGTTTCTGGCTTAGGAAAGCGTTTATAGCATCAACTTTCTGCGCTAGGGGTTTTATTCCTGAACCTCATATTAAGATGCCTAAAAACTCAATTTGTTTTTGACTAAATTTGCATTTTTTGGATTTATAAGTATTCAGTTATCGCTGAGTATACCAAAAACTGTGTTCAGATGATTCATATGCTCCTTTCCATCCGTTGATGCCACCTGGATGTCATCGATAAAAACGAATACGAAATTGTAGTTTCGGAATAGTTGGTACAAATATCTTTTTTGGGCTGCGTTCCACAAAACAAATAGCATTTTCAGGAATCGAATAGTACCAAAGGTCACTGCTGTTTTGGGTATGTCATCAGGATTCACTGGAATTTGGTGGAATGCTTCAATTGCGGAGAAAATGTTCTTTCCATGTAGATAGTTTGAAAAGTCTTGAATGTGCGGTATTGGGTACCTATATGGTTTTTTTACGTTGTTAAAACGTCTCCAAATGCTCTCCACCTTCAATCTTTTTTTCCAGCAGATGAATTTGGCTAGCTCAGCATGAATTCGAGGGTTAAATGGTCATGGCTTTTATTATGCTTGCAAACTCTTTTTTTGCAGTTTAGAGTTTTTCTGGAGCTAGTCTCCTTGGGCTGGCAAAAACTAGATTTCCCTGCGTGTCAATATGGTGAAAAACGTGAACTTTACGCTCTAATGGTATGAAACGTAAAAGATTTGGATATTTTTCTATTAATGCTGAGTATTTGTTGTTGGAAAATATCTTGATTTCGGCAACCTGGACGTGCTTTGCATCGCAGCTTTTCTCGACGGAAGTTTTGCAGTCAATTAGCTTTCTTTTTCTAATGACGCCTTGGATTTCATAATAAGAAAGGAAATCTGCGACTAAAATCGAGTGGGTTAAGTCTGCAACGATAAAAATCCATACGAATTGTCTCCGTCGGCCAATATTCAGGGTCAAGGTTTTTTTCCATAGGTTTTGATGGGAGATCCACTAGCTCCTTCCTTTGCTGTTTTCCTGATGTTGTGCGCAGGGTTTTAGTAAAACCGTTTTACGCATTTTCTTTCATTTTGACCAAAACGAAAGTGGTACCAGAATAGTTCTTTTTCTTTTTTATGTCTTTACCTGGATCTTGACCTGGATCTAAAGTTTGGTTTGTTTACTTGAAGATTATTTACTTGGAATGAAATTTCTGCGATTTTATTTTGAAGGGTTGTTATGATGGTGAAATGGAAGTGGATTCAGATATGGCATTGTTTCCATTACTCCTGGCTATTTCAAAGAGTTTGTCAAGTTCTCCTTTGCTTACAGACAGTATACCACGTGCATACCGTGGTAATTCTTTAAGCCAAAGTGTTTTGAGTACATAGTCTTTTAAATTATCTTTATTTAATGCTTGCATTTTGTGCAAAAGTAGGGATGGTTTCATGTCCGAAAGATTTATACCACTTAAGAGTTTTTGTATTTTTAGGGTTTCACTATCAGCAAACCTACTAATCAGCCTCTCTTTGATTTAGTCATACCAATCTGTTGCTGGTGGATTTCTTAAAATGTCTGCTTCAATCAACACATCACAATTTAGACTTTAAATAATACTCGTGTAGAATCACCAGTATGTGTAACAGAACCTTGTGTGTCTGGCATTATGAAGCTTGATATAAGAATAAGTTTGGTATTCAAAATGTCTTTGTCATCAATGTAATTAAGTCAGCTGTTATTATTGTGACGCAATTATATTTATTAATTGCTACTGCAATTGTATTTTAGCTCTTTTGGGTGTCACCTTGTCTTTCTCGCCATCTGACATGTGTTTCCAATCCACGCATTTTTCCGGTTTTTAAGAAGTTATTATTTCACTGGTAAACTTTTTGAAACTGAACAGGTGAATCCCACTTCTAATGTAAAGATAGCATGATCATTAAACAATAAATCTTGTATTTTATTATATTTCCAATACAATATAAATGATTTGATTTTGTTATGATGATGCCACCATGACATACAATATTTAAATTTTATTTAAACATATAATACAATTTTGTTTTATTATCACATTTTTACTGAGTCTCTCATTTTACAGCTTGTTTTTAAAGAAGTATGGTTCAATGATACATTTAGTTTAAGAACAGGTTAACGTGCCTTTTTTAATATTTTGGTTTCATATTTGCGCAGTATATTGCGAATTGTTCTTTTTGAACACGGAAAATGGGTTTTGTTTACAACCTACACTACAGAGAGAAAGAGAGAAAAGTAATAATTTCGATACCTATATACAAAAATATATTTATTTGTCGACACCGCCCTCGGTGGTGTAGTAGTTAGCACTGCGGACTACAAGCCGAGAGGTCGTGGGTTCGAATCCCACCAGGGGTATGGTTGTTTATTTGTGTTTGTCATTGTGTATTTCTGTAATTGGGCCTGGTGCCTGTTGAAAGCACATTAAAAATAATAATAAAAAAAAAGACAACTTACATTTACTTGACCTTTTTAAACTTATATTTTGGTTAGTTTAGACTAAACCTAAACTAAACTAAATATTGGCTTGTATTAACCAAATAGGGTAAAGTGGGGGAATGACGACCAGCGGGTAATAACGATCATCAAAAGTTTCATAGTAAGGTTATATTTATGTACAATATTTTAGTAGCGTCACCTAGCCTTTAGTAGCCTAACCTAACCAAAACAGTCGGTAACCAGAAATTCTACATTGGCTTCAGTCAATTCGTGTTTATTTAAAGCAGGGTAAATTCTTGTAATATTCTCAAGTATATAATTAGCTGTTTTGTTATTATTATTGAATACCTTTTAATTTTAGTTTGTTATGAATTTAATAAATTTTTTTAGCAACATAAGTCAAATGTCTTATAGCATCACAAGTCAAATATACCTGGTTGCGATTACCTAGCACTTGGTCGTAATTACCCCGTTACGTGGGAAATGACGACCAAAAGCACTTTGTTAAGAATTTTTTTTTTTTTGAAAAACTATTTGAGTTATATTTCTGAATTGATGCATGAATAATCTTTAGACTTTAGTCTTTCTATTCCGATTTTCAAAAAGTAAAAATATTGGTTCAAAATTATTTTATGGTTAATTTTTCTTAGGTGGTCGCCATTCCCCCTCTCTACCCTACGCTACTATACTTGTAATAAACTTTCCAAAATCCAAATAACTAAATAATTTAGCTTTAAATGAATATTTCTTTCGAATAAATCACAAACAAGTTGTTTTTAAGAAACTTGAGATATACTCGTAGGTATAACCAAATAATGGTATTTTGTTGTTGTAAACTAGAAGAAAACTTTACTTCGTTTAAGAAAACCTGTTTTTAATGGCGGGTTTATACAACTTTATATTATTAATTTATTTCATAGGTAATTCACAATTTAGTGCATAAGCATAAAAGTTAAATAGCACTATCTGTTATGAAACGATTTAATCCGTAACTCAAAATTGTGTGTTTATTGAATAACCTTGAAAGTTAAAATTTAACTTTTATGAAATAAATAATGAATTATAAATAAGATTGAACAGCGCATGTGCCAACAATTTCTCTCTCTTCATTTTCCAAGGTTATAAATATAAAACATGAGTTTTAAGGGATTTTGTGTTATTTGACCCTTTTAATTATTTATATTGTCATTTGAAAAAATAAAATATATAATATATTAAATTAATAAATTGTATAAACCAGATTTTAAAGTTATGTATTAAATTTTGCATTAAATTAACAATTAAGTTATGAAATAAATTGTCCACTAAATTATAAATTGTTGTATAAACCCGCCTTAATTTTCTCTGTGTAGATAGCTTAAAAAGTGTACAATTAATATTTTTCCTTTTTTATGCTTTCTGTTTTAGTTTTCAAAGATGCTCCTCCAACTCCTCCAAGTTATGCTCAAGCCCAACAAGATGAACAAATAGATTTTGTAAAATCTTTGAAAAACCTTATACTTAACAGGTCCTACATGTTTCTTCTTCTGGCGTATGGTATAAATGTTGGAATATTTTATGCAATTTCTACTCTACTTGAACAAATCATCTTAAAATATTACCCGGTAAATATGTTTAAAATAATTAAGTCTTAAGACATTCCAATTGGAATGTATTTTTATTTTTTTAGAATGGAACCGAAGACTCCGGAAGAATAGGTTTGGTAATAGTTTTGGCTGGTATGGTTGGTTCAGTTTGTTGTGGAATTGTTTTGGACAAATATCATAGATTCAAGTTAGTATAAAAAAAAATCATGTACAGGATCGTACGTAATTTAAGGCGTGGGCCCTGTAAGGAAACTATTTCCCAAGCCCTAAAATCATTCAAGCACGCGCCTGATCATGTACTGCTGGTTTATTAAAATTATTTTAATAATAAAATTTCATAAATACCTTAAAACAATATTTATCGAACACAGACACTGCTTAGCAGTGACTGCTATCTAATATAACTAGTAGTTATTAACTACTGATTAATTTCATCCAAAATAAATTTTTATCCTTGTCATAAAAACAGAAGGGAATTTGCTTTCGGCACGCGCCTAAAGAGCGGCATGCTTTGAGGGAGCCACACCTTTGTGTTTTGGCGGCTTTACACCGCGTTATTACAAATAAGCCGCATTATTATAAAATAATCGGGGCATATTCGGGGCATATTCAAACTCTATGTAAAAAGCTTCCAAGTAAACTTTAGCACCCTTCGCCCTCTTGTCTTGCTCTTTGTGAGTTTGGTTAGATCTCGTCTGGAATATGGGTCAACAATTTGGTCACCATTTTATAATGTTCATGTTGATAGAGTCGAGTCCATTCAAAACAAATTTGCTCGTCACATGAAGTACAGATTGCTCAAAGTTGGAATAGTATTAAGTACTCAGGATACCTTGCAATATCTAGGACTAAGTTCGCTCAAGAGGCGCAGATTAAATAAGGATGCTTGCTTCCTCTTTAAGGTATTTAATGGCTTGATTCAATCTTCTGAAATACTGTCTTCTTGAAACTTGAAAATACCGACGAGGGACTTGAGGAATCCCATGTTATTAGATATTCCCAACTGTCGCACAGTATATGCCAGTAATTCTCCATTGAGTCGGGTTTCCAGAATATGCAACAGTCTCTCCTCAGTAAACTTTTAAATTGCTCTTTGGCATCCTTTAAAACCCAGCTTAATTCCCTCGATGGTCTTTGATTGCTGGCATATGTGGTGAGACAGACGAGGCTTTATTATTATTGGATTTTTGTACCTCATATAACATATTACATTATATTTGTTTTTGTTACTAGAATTAATTTGATTTATTTATTGTAAACCAATGTATAACTGCTATTTAGCGTTAATAAACATTATTATTATTATTATTAAAATATTCTGTATAAAAAGATTAATTATGATTAGCTAATCGTACCTATTAGTTTTTCAAAATAAATTCTATTATTCAGTATAGTATTCTGTTTTCGGGAAATACAAATAAACTTTTTATCCTTCAGAAGGGAGCTGTAAGGGCCATTGCAGAAGTTCCTGAGAGAGAAAGAGAGAGATGTAGACTTTTATTTAAATAAAACAGAATATATATATTCTATATACTATAACAAAATTTTACTTACTTACCCTAGTCAAATAGGTGCACTCAAACAAAAAATTCTTTACTCCAAACAATAGGTTTAACACAAGAGGACAAAATAATCTACAAATCACCACATCAGGGCTTCCAAAGTCTACAATAAACTCCCACAAGAGTTTAAATCTCTGTCTGTGTACAGTTGCGACCGTGCTGTTAAACTCTTTTTGATTCAATATGTATTTTACAGTCTTAATGAATATTTCTGTTTTTTTAAATCTGCTTATCTCGCTAGAAACTTGTACTATGTACCTATATTTTTAACTATTTCATTGTTTTTACCTATATATACTTATTTATTACCCATTTAATTGTGTTTATGCCATAATGTACCTACCTACCTATTGACTTTCCATGTAATTTTAATTGCAGTAAATAAACGTTTATTATCTATTATCTAAGTAGTCTAAAAAATATTATTTTTTCAGAGAAACAACCCTGGCTGTTTATGCCTTTTCCTTGATTGGAATGGTCGTGTACACCTTTACTATATCTGAAGGAATAATCGTGGTTTATTTGGTATCAGCATTTCTAGGGTAAGAAAAAACTATTTCTACACTCAAATAGTAATTATAATCATAATCATTCTTATAATGAATAAATTTATCTAGACCTAATGACGATCAAAGGTGTATAGAAATCTATAAAGGTGTTGTGCAACTGATTTAATAAAATCTATTACAATTTGATCTTGAATTCTTTAGAAAATAACCGGAATGTTTGCATGCAGAGTTGAAAATTCTCTTTGATTCATGTAAAAAATGCACATTTAAAGATATTTCTCAAGTGGAATTTAAGTTAAAAAAACTTTATACCACTGTCATTCAAAGTCGTTTGTTACATTTTGACTGCTCCTGTTACATTAGCTTTTTGTGAACATTCTTTTAGTAAATTAAAAACAGTTTTTGATCATTTGCATATAAGAATGGGTGATGATCGTTTAAATTCAATGATGGTGCTTTTTTAATCGGAGGATAAGGTAGACAAAATTGATGAAAAATTATTTTTTAATATTATAACATTTTATTTCATATCTACATTTTTTACATAATTTTGTAATTCGGATTTCCCAAAAACTTATTTGCTCTTAGAAAACTTTAATACAGTTAAGATAAAAACAAGATAACCTGGTGGATTTAAAGTTGGAACAGCACCTACTGGTAGACTACTCTGTTTATCAACACATCCCTTTTTTTCTGCAATATAAATACACCATAGAACGCTTTTAAATTATTTGTTCTCCACTCATCTCCTTTAATTTTGGATTGTTTATATTTTTACGCACTTGCTGAAAATATCTATAGACTGTGCTCTAGAGTTGAGATTCCATAGTTGGAAAATACTGACGTTTATTTTGCACATTTTTTCAGTACAAAGCGTTTTTTTATAACACTGGAAATATTTAAAATGATTCATTTTCAGTATTTAGTAGTAAGAGAACAAACTTAAAGTAATAATTTAAATCATAATTGTTTCATTTATAACCCTTCCGAAAGTACCTAACCTAACAAACATGACAGGTAGTTTAAAAACAATTAATGCACTGTTTGGCATGCGCATTAAATTAACGTTTAATTATTGATTGAAATTTAGTAGATACCTTTCTTATCATGAGCCATCACTGTCACAATATGACTTAACCTTGGCTATACCAATTTCCTCAGTGTGATATGGTCAAATTTCGACGCTTTTATGTATGGAAAAATAAATTAAATTAATTTAAATTTTTTAAATTAGTCAATAAAACATGATAGAATAAAATAATTATGCATATTTAGTAAATTAACAATATTATTTAATGAAAATTTCTTTTTAGTATTTTGATCGAAATTTGCAAAATACCCGATTTTACACGCTTCAAAATTTTACGCGCAAATATGACAAAAATAATTTTTGAGTAGAATACCCGCAAACGGTAACACTGGGTACGTACTGACAAAAGAGCTATCCAGAAAACACGGGAAGATTCGATCACATGACGGTCAGCTCTGATCTAATTGGTCAGCTGAGAAAATCGATATTGCATCTGGAACACATGTGTTATGGTTTTTAGAACAATTGTTTGGAACAATGGTCAGATGAATATTTGCGTATATAAAAAGAAACTATTAAAATAAAACGTACAGTGGCAACAATAAAAGCAAGTCAAGCGCATCGTATGTAAATAATTATAATTGTTATAATTATTACACTTTACATACATATGTTATTAATAATGTAAAATAAAACATTTTTTCTTTGTTGTTATAAGTTTTTTGCATAATTACCTATATAATAACTTATTATATAGGTAATTATGCAAAAAACTTATAACAACAAAGAAAAAATGTTTTATTTTACAATAACCAAATACAACCTCTATGGATAATTCCGAATAATCGCTATAGAGACCTACCATTTATCTGCTAAAAGTCTTTCCGACTTAATAAGTCCTGTTGAGTTTTTAAGAGAAAGTAGGACTTTCAAACCTCTTATTTTTACAAATTTCCAAAAAGGCGGTGCCATAGCTTCAGTTGTATAGGAAATTGTATCTAAAGAATTAATAGAGGATATAACCATTTAAAATTAAAACTAATTATTTTTTATTAATTAAACACTTTTTTTTAGCTTCTTCATGACTGGACTCCTTCCTGTCGGCTTCGAATTGGCTGCAGAACTAACTTATCCTGAACCGGAAGGAACATCTTCAGGTCTTTTAAATGCTGCTTCTCAGGTATTTGGCATTGCCTTTACCAGTCTGTACTCAGTCATATTGGAAAATGTTAACGAAGTTTGGGCAAATGCAACAATGTGTGTCATGCTTTTAATCGGAACGATTTTAACAGCCTTTATTGGCAAAGACATGAGAAGGCAGGCGGCTCATTTGGAAAAATAAGAATTGTTAACCATTTGTTACTGTTATTTGTAAAAAAAAGAGTAACAATAACAGTTACTGTTGTTCGTACAGTTTAAAGTATTTATTTTCTAATACTAGTCAGAATATTAATGTTAAACATTTTTAAATGTGATTTACAATAATCAGTGTAAGAATAATTTATTAAAATTTAAATATATCTTTGTATATATATATATATACACAGCAAAAGAATATTTGCTAGAAATTGAAATATAACTTCATCGTTTAACCAGATGGATTTGTTTCTGAAAAACCAATTTTTTTTATAAATTAAAATAAGAGTTTTAAGTCTTACAATATTGTTATTTAACCAAATACATCATCTCTGAATATGAGTATGAGTATAAGTATGAGTATAAGAGACGTATAACCAGCCCCATTTCATCATCACTCTCGGACCCGTACAGGCCTATGTTTACTTACGCCGATTTTTGTTCGCCCCCAGCAACTGCACGGCTTCACCCGTGTTTGCTGGGTGCAAATGTCCATTGCGTTCCGTACTGTCCCCTATTTGGAGCTCGAGAGCGACATGCGAATAGTTTTAATAGCCATTCTCGGGTTCGCCGAGCCGATGCTATACGCCCAGTAGGGTATAAAGGACGAGGGACGGGAGGGTGTTGGTTTTTGGGGGACAATTACGCCGACTTAAAACTAAGTACGACGCGGAATCCCCCTAGACCAGTAGATTAGTATTACTCCAAACATTTGGGATTACTATTTGGAGTTGGGGAGTTGTTATTTCGCTGCAGGGGTGTAGTTTCCAAGTCGAGGTCTTCGTCTTGTTCGTTATTGTCATTGTCCGTGTCCTGGTCAGATAGTTCCTGCACTTGGTAAAGTGTGTCAGTTGTTTTTTTTTTAATTTTATTTTTATTGTTGCTTAGTTGCTCCCAACTGGTCTTGTTAATTTGTGATAAGTGCATGTTTTGTGCTAAAGTGTCATGATATGTGAAGCATGGTCTCCCGACTTTTATGTCTGTAAGGTCTAGAAGGGTGGCTTGTAGTATGTTGTTGCGTTGCCTACGAGTGACGTGGGCCCAGTATTTTAATTGGGCTACTCTTACTCTTTTGGTAATGGTTTTGCCTATTAGCAGGTCGCGGGGATGTTGGTGATGGTAGTCGGGTAAGTCTTTCGTTAGTAGTGTAATGATCTTCGGTTCAAGTTTGCGTAAATTTTGTCCCAAGCACGTTTTGTGGTAGAGTTTTGTCTTTTTTTCTTAAATTCCAAAATTAAGTATTGCATTTATTTATTAGTTAAACAAATGACAAGCGCAATTATTCTGTTATCAAATGTTTACAAATCTAGTAGAGTTTGGTTATTTTGCTTTTTTTACTATGTTAGGGTTATAATGATTAATGTGTTAGTTTATTCTGTGAGTCTAGTGTTTATTTTTGGTCTCGTTTGGGTTTGCATTACGCATTTGTTGTTGACAGATTTATTGCCCTACGCCGTGTGCCTTTCTTAGGTTTTAAAGCTATTTTTTTTTTGCGGATGGCCACCTCCCCTCTTGTTTGACCTCCTTTGTTTGTCCAGTGAAAAGTGTCCAATGACAGGTGGCACTTAACTCATTCATATCACTTAACACTTCACTCCTCATTGACCGTTACACCATTTTAGTTTGCACAATTTTAGTTTGCACAATTGTTAGTTTCACTATAATTGGTTTGCACTTTTTAAAAATTATTGTTGGTTTTAATCTTTAAACTTTTACGTTTTAAGAGCTTTCACTCTCGCGTCGTGCCTTCTCAAGCGCTGGAACCTGACTGTCGACAAATACATCATCTCTGAATAATTCCAAATATTTATTTTTATCGCTATAGGTATCACTTCCCTGCTGAAAGATTTTTCAGTCAGAATAACTCTTCCAGAAGACTCCCAAATCTTGCAAATAGCGTTGAGTGACCAATCCTAATAGTCTGACCTAAGTCTATTCCGACTTAGTTGTAGTGGAGCGCCTCACATTGTCCCAGAAAGTAAAAGAAGGTCCCTTACTCTCTCCTGCTTCTCAAACATGCCCGTGATCAGTAAGTATACCTACAAGCGGGCCAAGGGAAGCTAGATTCCTACCCAAAATCCAGATGGTTTTGAGTTTGCTGGGGGTGACATGGTAATTTGACCTGAATTCTCGTAATTCCAAAAATTGTCTCTAGTCCCACAAAATGAGTTTTGGATCTTGTCCTAGACAGTTTATCAGCATGTTCGTTACCGTCCTCTCAAATGTGTCCTGGTACCCATACGAGGTGAACCCTTATTCCGACTTAAAGTCTTTAGTTTTTAAATGAAAGTAAGACTTTTAAAACTCTTATATTTACTTAAAACTTTTAGTTTTTAAGAGAAAATTTTCCATGTATTGATGGTTTTACGGGATCTGCTCCACGTTGTCGGTTTTTGGTTCTTAAAAGAACCGTATGTCTGACGACGTTTCGGTACAATCTCATGTACCATCTTCAGGTCTTATCCGCTGGGCTGCTGTTGCTGCTCTGCTGCGAGTTGGACGTATATATATATATATATATATATATATACAGCCCTTTCAGAGTAAAACCGAATATAGGGAAACGTTTTGGGCGTGGCCTCGCCTCCCTCCAACGCGCGTCACAGTAGCTTGTGTGATAAACGACATGACGAAAGGTCGAGCAGGTAAGACGACCTTAAAAATTAAATGATAATAATGCAAATAATCTCATTAGCGATGCAGGCTATTTGCTTAGCTACTGTGTCGCGCGTTGGAGGGAGGCGAGGCCACGCCCTATACGTTTCCCTATACTCTGAACGGGCTGTATATTTATTGCATTAAATAAAGGAAATTTCAAAAATTATTTATATGTATACATGTTTATATTAACATTTTACACAGTATTGTAAAAATATAAATTATTCTTTAAATAAAAATAAATTTTGGAATTTCCCAAAAATTACAAAAACAAATTTTGACAATAAGGTTCAAATTGGACAATAATGGAAATAGTAGTATTTTAGAGTCATTACTTTTATACAAATTACAATATTTACAAACTTGTTATAAACGTAGAATAAATGTTATAGTTATAGAAATTATAGTCATTTTAAAATTTATTACAGTTATTAAACATTTACAATAAGTCAACTAAATATTTTTTGATTTTATTATGAATAAACTTTTTCTTTAATTCAAAAACCTTACATTAAATTTTACTATAGTGCATTTTAAAGTTTAGATAAAATAAAATTTATTGACACAATAAAATTATCTTATTGTATTAAACATAACAATTGGTCAGTATTTTTTATAAGATAAAAAATTAATTTTTTTATAAACAAATTGTAAGAGTAGTTATAACAACTAAGTATACCTGGTTATTAATTTTTATTAGGTTTTGATAGTCCATTTTTAACAAGGTTTATGTTATGATTTCTTTTCAAAATAATTTAAACTTTCTACTAGTTTCGGTGTAATCTAAGACTTCTTCAAGCAAAAGCTTTAAAATTATAAATTAAAATAAAAATATATTTCAAACCAAACATAAAATAATCAAATTATTGAAACTAAAGTTAATTTTTTATTTATAATTCAATTAAGTACTTAAGTTAGTTTTTATATTGACACGCCTACCCCAGGCCAATCGCATGTATAGCTTAAGGGAGGTCGACACAAAAAGGGCTGTTCCAATACAAGTACTAAGTAAGAAGACAAAAAACAACCAGTATTAAATTAATAGTATTCTTTGCCACCTCAGTTAATTGCCAATGGAGGTGTGGGAAAGCAGGCAACGTCAATGTCGGTGAACTTGTTTTAATTAGGGTAGACAACGCACCACCGCAGAAATGGTTGATGAGCAGAATTACCTAACTTCATCCCGGTTCAGACAATTTAGTTCGCGAGGTGTATCTTAAGTTACCTAAAAGTTCAATAGTGAAACCTGCTATTATTCGTTAAAACAACAACACACAACATTTTGGTCCTTCGAGCAACAATACACAACATTTTTTGTCTTTCGAACAACACACAAAACAAATCATATTTCATTTATTTGTTTGTATCATCGTTTATATCTTTAAAGGTTTTATTTTAATTTTATTTTAACTTAGTTAGGTTTTTGCTTAGAGATGATTTTAGATTAGACCGAAACTAGAGTGAACACAACAATACACGACAACTCACTTGTTTTATTAGCATAGTTTACCCACAACGCATTCTAGTTAATTACCTTTACTCAGTGTACTGTTCGGAAAAAACGTTTCTTATTGGATCGTGGGTAAACTACTGGCTATCGGGGTTGTTAATGTTATAAAGTTTTGAAAATTAAACAATGTGTTATCTCAATTTTTGTATAGAAAAATAAAAGCCTATATTTAATTTAAAAAATCACATTCCAGTACAAACGATTTTTTCATATGCCAAGATTACTAAATAAATATTATTATAATATTAGCTAATATAACTATGTTTATGAAAAAATTATACCTATATATTTTAATTAATATTCAATATTATTAATTAAATGGACCAAAAAAACTGTATGACAATAATCATTGAAACTTGTTAAACGCTTACAACCATACTGTAGGAAATTAAGAAAAAATGTTAGTGGGAAAATATTTAAAACGCAGAGAGAAAATGTATGAATTTATTTATAGCTTCTTTCTAAAAAGTATATCTAATTCCGATATTGAAACCACAAATAATAATCTCAAAACAACAATAATAATAATAAATGATTATAATAAATTAATCAATGGGTAAATTTTAGCCAATACGGTGTAACACTCTTCCACTTCACCCTTCTTATATTTTTTAAAGCTAAAATTTTACCACTAGTGATTTTATACAGTCTTTTAATTTTATTTTCACGGAAAATTTTACGAGTGGTATTCGGCTAGAATATTTCACGAATATAATTTATTGACAAATCGTAAATATTTTAAAATTTACCAATGACCAAAATTGACTTTTGGCATCGAATTTAATTGCTTTGTTAGCAAGAAGTTTTTTGAATGGAATGTATACATTTTATATTTTAATACACCAAACTTTATTTTATTTAATGTACAGTTCTTTATTGAATTTTAATACCAAGTTATTTAAAAAATTGTTCTACAAATATGCAAATACATTTTTTATAAATTAACTCAACATAGGTATATTTTTGTTCTTATGAAATATTTAAGTTTTACATTTTGTTTTTATTTTGAGATGGGTCAAAAGTCATCCCGTCATAACACTAATTTAAAT